TACAAACTTAAGTTATAGAACACCTTTAACATAGGGAAACGTCCCAAGGTGAAAACAGACGACAAACAAAAGCAGACAGACTGGGAACACCAACGTCAAACACAATAAATGTTTTGGCTACAAAAAGAACAGGAAGAATACACAAGCGCTTCATTATATTAAAATGTCTTTACACATTGCGTACATGTTCCTGCAACCATTTTGGCTCTTGAGATTTTCTAACAGTCCTTTCTCTCTCTTACACTAGTTAGTTACTTTCCTCCAACATACACAAATACAGGCACAGTTGAAACAAAAACAGAAATTGCTGGAGAATTTTAGCAGGTCTGGCAGAATCTGTGGAGTGAAAGGCAGAGATAGAGCCCAGAGAGACATGACAGGAGTTGGGTAAAGCAATGGATGATGGCGAGTTAGGGAGAAAGAAAAGGGGGTCATTAGTGGGTGAAAATGGGTTGGCTGTGGTGAAAACAGCCATGTGATGACAAGGCCTGGGGTGTGGGGGTGGGGAAAGATATGGAAGAAGGTGCTCGGGCCTTAAAGTTATGAACTCGTTATCAAATCCTAAAGTCATCAGAGACCCCAAATGGAAAATGAGATGCTGTTCTTAAAGGTTGTGCTGAGCTTCGCTGCAGCCTTGCAGCAAACCTGAACCAGAGTTGTTGGCCAAAGAACATGGTGATTTGTAGAGGTGGCAGGCAACCAGAAGCTCAGGGTCATTTTTGTGCACAGAATGTCGGTGTTCCACAGTGGTCACCCAGTCTACATTTCATCTCCCCAGTGGAGAGCAGTTCACATTGTGAGCAGTGAATTCAGTAGACCAGATTGAGTGAAGTGCAGGTAAATCACTTTCATCTGGAAGGTGTGGCTAGGGCTTCGGATAAAGAGTGGGGAGGAAGCAAAGAGGCTGGTGTTACACCTTCTACGACTGCATGGGAAGGTGCCTTGGAGTGTGGGGTGGTGCTGGGAATGGAGGAGGTGCGGACCAGAGGGAACAGTCACTTTGGAAGGCTTACAAGGGAGTGGAGGGAAATACGTGTCTGGTGGCGGCATCCCACCAAAGGAGCTGGAAATGGCAGCTTATGATCCTTTGGAAGTGAATGCTGGTGAAGTGGTAAGTGAAGACCACGGGGACCCTATCGGTGTGTGGGAGGGAAGAGAAGAGGTAAGTGCAGCAGTGTGGGAGATGGGTCAAACAAGGCTAAAGGCCCTACCAACTACAGTAGTGGGGAATCCTCGAATGAGGAAAAGGGTGGACATTTCTGAGGTGCACCCCCACCCCCACCCCTGCTGAAGGTGGCATCATCAGAACAGATGCAACAGAACGGAGAAACTGGGAGAACGAGATGGAGACCTTACAGGAAGCAGGGTATGAGGATGTATAGTCCAGGTAACTTTGGGAGCCGGTGGGTTTGTAGTGGATGTCAGTGGCCAGCCTAGCCCCAGAAATGGAAACAGAGATGTCGAGAAGGGAATGGAGAAGTCAAATAGAACAGGTGGAAATGAAAGCAAAGTGAAAATCAAAGGAAAATTGATAATTTTTTCCAATTCTGACATGAGAGAGAAGCAGCACTGATAATGTAATCCACGTACTGAAGAAAGAATTGTGGGCAGGGTCCAGAGTAGGACTGGAACAAGGAATATTCCAAGGACAGCATAAAGGCATCAGCATAAATGGGGCCTGTGCCAGTACGCACGGCCACACCCTTCATCTGAAGGAAGTGAGAAGAGTTAAACGAGTTGTTCAAAACGAGGATAAGCTTGGCCGAGAGGAAGACAGTAGGCAGACAAAGGGATAGATAATCGTAAGCCAAGGAGAAAGAAGAGCCAATACTGGGGATCACAAGTAGATGAAAACAGGTTGGTTGTGCTGAAAGCAGCCCATGTCATGACAGGGCTGGGGGTCTAGGGGTGGATAAAGGCCATTGAGGATGGTGTTCAAGTTCTAAAGTTATTGAACTCGATGTTGAGTTCTGAAGGCTGCAGGGTCCCCAAGCAGAAAATGATTTGCATTGGTAATAATTTAACATCTTCGTCATATGACCAGCTAGTGTACTAAGATCTTGGGCATAATAACCAGAGAGAACTCTTGATCTTCACCATGAGAGGCATCCTAGACACAATGGACAGCAATAGCAATAATGCCCAGTTCCTGTATCTGAGGATATGTCACATTTAAAGACGGAGGAGTGTCCTAATTAATAAACAGTCATATGCACAGGTTCAAATGGGTACAAGCTGATTACAGGAAACTATTCAATATTTATTCTGAGGGCACACATTAGGATGGGAGTCTGGTAAAGCCAATAATGACCCAGTTTGTCTCTGGCAGACAATAGTAGGTCAGCATTGTTAGGAGAGAAACCCAAAAAGTCTTAATTAATAATCCAGAGAGTGAGCATTCAAACTCTAGTCTCAATTTAAGAATCCAAATTCAGTTAAGAAATATGGAAATAACAGCTAGTATCAGCAAAAGTGGCTGTGAGATTGGCTTTTAGAACAATCTAGTTCACTGATGTGCCTTAGGGAAGGAAATTTGTCATTTGTATACTGCTTGATGTAAATATAGCTACAGTCCCAGACTAATGTGAATGACTCGTAAGTGCCCTCTGAAGCAGCCCAACAACAAGTCACTGGTGTATAAAACCACCACCCGTGGCAACTGGGCAGGGGCAATAAATAGCAGTCTTGCCAGCACCATCCACATCCTGAAAATGAGTTTTAAAAATGTAATTATCCATGAGTCATCTCACAAGGCTCCTTGGGGAATCTCCAATCTCTTTTCTTTAATGCAGTCATTTATTGAGAAGAGTTGCAATTTAGAGAAATAAAGTAAATGCTAACAATTAATTTAAAATGATTTTAAAATTAAAGCACATTTCTATCCATCCCATCTCTGCACACATCACTAATTCATCTCCAATTGTTGGCATGAAGGGAGGATGAAATCAGTTTTGAATTTTTTACACTCACATTTCAAATCAGCGAGCATTCTATGGAGATCCAATAAGTGACATCAATGCCTCAGGGAGAATGTTCCATGTAATAATGAGCTAACTCCACAAGCAAAAATATCCACTCTTCCCTCAAGTGCTACTGTCAGCTTACTCTCACAATAGCATCCCACCCATCTAGATAGACCAGGACAATAGAGATTGCCCCCTCTCAACAACCTGTATTTATATAGCACCTTGAACATAACAATACATATCAATCTGCTTCACAGCAGCATTATAAACCTGACATAGTCACGAGATGGCCAAAAGCTCAGTCAAAAGTACGGGTTTTAGGAAGTACCTTAAAGGAAGGGGATGAGGTAGAGAAACAGACAGAATAAAGCACAGAAATGCAGAGTTTAGAGCCTGGGTAACTGAAGGCAGTATCAACATGGTGGATCAATTAAAATCTGGCGACATTAAAGAGACCAAGTTTAGACGAGTGCAGATACCTTACGCAGCTGGAGGAGATTAGACTGTGGCCATGGACAGCTTTGGCAACAAGGATATTGATTTTTAAAAATCAATACATCACTTGACGAGGAGCCAATAAGTCAACAAGTCATTTTCTTGAACAGTATTTAGGAGTGGAACCTTGACACACATTTACAGCTCTGTATTCTAAAATTGATCTAATTTATTTTAATCCATAAAGACACTTTTCAAAACCTATAATTTTGACGAGGCTTCAGGACATCTGTTGTAGTTACTTCCTTGTATCTGAATGTATTTTTAATTAATGCTCGTGTTAAACACTGTATTCTGTCGAAGGTGCGATATAAATACTGTCCTCAGGTTAAGGTCTGGACAACTTGCATTTTTGGTGGATTACGACTGTAAACGAATGTCTAATGTTGTCTCATAACATACAAATCCTACATCAATTGAAAAACTGAAATACACGATTAAAGCAGCACAGCATTTAATCCATATGGGAAAAGTTTAACCACAGATGCAGAGGAGATGTTCAGCAGCTTTTCCTGATCAGATGCAGGACTTAATTGTAAAGAATTGGAAACTCAGGACCAATATATTTTAGGCAAACGTACAAAAGCATACAGAAGTCAAGGAACAAATCATTAGAAATAACATCAAACAGTACCCTCTGTCAAGCAGTAAAGCAGAATTCCAGATGTTGTACGGTCACTACAAATCAGTATTTTATCCTATAGACTAGATGAGAGAAGTAGAAGCAAGTGCCTGTGAGGACCCTTGCATTTCTACTCTGCGAGGAATAGGGGCAAGGTGTCGAATCCCAAGGTGTTCTTATTTAGGTAGGGAATGGAATAACAGGTCTCCCCAGCTGTTCCAGGTCCATAAAGAGTCACAATATTCAGGTTCTCTACAATCATGCAAGGTAATTAATTCATTAAAATTCTGCAATACTCAGCTCTAGCCATTAGAAGCCCTCAGTGAGCTAAGTAAATAAAGCAACTTCTACTTGCTAAAATTCAGTACTTGATGTAGCACATGCGACTCAAGATTAATCCTGCATCAGGCCTGGTTCTGACAAAATAAATCTGTACATCAACGTAAATACTGAATATTAAGACGTAAAACAATCTGCCTCGAATGCACACATTCATAACAGTAAAATACTCTGGATGCTGGAAACACAGAAGATAGGAGCAGGAGGAGGCCATTCAGCCCTTTGAGCCTGCTCCGCCATTTTTCACAATCACGGCTGATCGTCCAACTCAACAGCCTAATCCTGCTTTCACCCCATAACCCTTGATCCCAATCACCCCAGGAAATCTGAAACAAAACACAGAAAATGCTGGAGAAACTCAGTAGTGAGGCTGGCAGCATCTGTAGAGTGAGAAGCAGAGTTAACGTTTTGAGTCCAATATGACACCTCTTCAGAAAAGTTCAGAACAGAAGAGGAGGAGTCATAACAGACCTGAAATGTTAACTCTGTTTCTCTCTCCACAGATGGTGCCAGATCTGCTGAGTTTCTCCAGCATTTTCTGTGCTTGCTTCCACACTCTTGAACGATCTTTCACTTACCCTGATCAATCGGGTGCTGTGGAAGTTGGCTAAGCTGGCTGTTCACTACCCCTGCATAGGTTCGAAGAAATGCCTCTTCACTTGGAGTGAGCTGTTAAAATAAAGATCCTGTTTTATTTTATGTTGATGAGCAGTATTGTGATAGTAAGGTTCCATTTAAATATGATCTTCTTAAGAAGTAAGTTTAAGTTCTTTCAAAAGGCTCTGCATTGACATAAAAATGACAGAACTAGATGACAAAAATGACCTAGTAATCAAGAAGCAGCCAACAAACACCGTCAACCTAGTTTGCACCATCATCTTTAGTTAAAGGGGGAGCATGCCAAGTTGGAAAGAATTTTGACATAAACATTCGAGCCAAAATAGACAGAAAACACTGGAAAAAGCCATACTGTTTACCTAGGTCAACAGTCAGTATAACTTATTTGGGGTGAACACAGCCAAAGCTGCAGCAGGAAATGCAAAAAATCATCCTCAACTCTCTTTAAGGTGATGCTTCATGCTACTGTTCTATTTCTTGGATAGCAACGCCTCAGTACTTTACATAGCTGATTATCCTTCACTTTAAGTACCTCAATGAACCGAAACTATGATTAGGGCAACGAGGAATTGTTATTACTCAACAGGCAGCATTTTTCCAAGGACTGCTACACTGCCCTAGGCTGATAGCATCTCAATGTATGCCCCCTAAAATGTTTCACTATGGTGTCTGAAAACATGAGCAGTGTGTTTCTGGGCTGACTTTGCTCTTAAAAGAAGCTGAAAATTTACAAATCTTGTTTATTAATTTACCATGCTTGCGGATTAAATGAATTTTAATAATTTCACTTCAGTCGTTTAGAAAGATCCACTGTAGAGAACTGCCAAGTAAGCTCATTGAAATATTCAAGGCACAAAGGGACACAGATAAAACAAACATGAATGGAACCAAAACTGCTTGGCCCTTCTGATACACCCATGCAAGATCAGTGAGTCCAACATAAAGATCTGTAACATGACAGAAAACCAGATACCAGGCTCAGCCTACAGACAGTTCCCTGTCGAAGGCCACTAGAGACCAACAGGGCAGAAGGCAAGAGTGGAGATCTCATGCACCAGGGATTGCGTCAGTCCTGATCTTTCACTAACTTGGCATCACTAAATGCCTGCACACACAGCGAGGCAAGGTGTGACACCCTTCCAATTGCAGCAATTTGGTCTCACTGGTGAGGATCAGGCCTCGAGCAAAGAAATGGTCTGGATGTCACCCTTGCTTGTAGTAAAGTACCTCCTGCAGCATTGGGGAAGTGGACATCCTCAGAGAGATGGGCACCCAGGGCCACATATAAATTAGGTGCCCTTCTGCTAACGTGATCAATTCCAGCTGGGTCAATGGTGAAGGGCAATGGCAAGCAGAATTTCAGAATAACTGTTGACTGGGATTAAGACTATCATCATTAACATGGTCACTGATTCTGCTACAGAACAAAGACAGGCAGGGTGATTAAAAAAAAGTTCTGTCTTAATCAGTTTGCGCAGAAGTTAGCCAACATATCTATGGACTGCCGAGATTATGGATTGAATCAGCAAAGTTACAAGAGTTAAGCAGCTACAGGCAAACAATGTGATAAAAGGGAGAGAAATATGACATTACATAATATTTCCTAGACATTGCAGTTACGGAGATAGACTGCAATGGTCTTATTCAGTCAGAAATACACTACGAACCCATCCAAGAAAACAAATCAAAACTCAGAGTCCCGAGGAAAGATCAATGAACTCGGAATGTTAACTCTTTCTCTCCACAGACGCTGCCAGATCTGGTAAGTTTCTCCAGTAATTTCTGTTTTTATTTCAGATTTCCAGCACCCGTTTTGTTTCACCCAAAACTGTTAATAGGTTTTACTTTAGGTTGATTAATTAATTGGTCCTGTATGGCTTCAATTATTTAAGCTCTCTTTCCCTGGGAAGCATACCATTTTCTCCTCAGAATTGATACAAGCCTGCCAAGATTTGCTTAGTCAGGCTTGCTTTGGATAGCATGTTCCTAACCCTTGCAGCAAAGGGGTTAATTTTTTGAATAGTTTCACTGTGCTGTAGCAATAGCAGGAAAACCAACACAGGAAATATAACTTTAATCTGTAATACCCTGCAGGAAAACAGCACAATTCAGAATTCAGAAGAGACTTATGGCACAGGCTATGATAACTGTTGTATTACACTATACAACACTGCTGCTGCTGCAAAGCATGTGTGTTGTGGTGCATCCTAGCAGAGTTGTATTCAATTTCATTTTACAACAGCAAAAACGCAGCACTGCAACATGCTAAAAACAAAGTCCGAAGGGGCTAAGTAAATGAGTTGTTGAACACACATCTTCCAAGGTTGAAAATCTACATCGTGGTCTGAGCAGACCAATTGGAACTCTCTCTCACTGCTGACTCTGAGCATGGCGGGGGGATTGGGAAGGAAATCAACCAAGGTCACTGGATAGTAATGAGCTACACAGGGATGTTCGCACACACATAGACAGGATGCAATTGGGCTTTACTGTGATCCACCCTGGTTTGGCTCTTGTCTGAAGAACGGTCACCCCAGGAAGACAAAGTTGATTCAGTACTTGGGGAACAATGGCTCAGCAAGATACAACGGGTGCAGGAAGTGCCATTTCTTTGAAAATGATACACACGCCTGTTAATAATTTCAATTACACCAATCTTGCTGTGGTATGTCAGATTAAAAGATGCTGTACCAAATTAATTCTTTATGCTTTGGGTATCATATGAAGCTTTTGTTGAGAATGTTTCCTTCAAATCATGGTAACCCACCAATTGTGCTCTTCAAATTTGCTGCAATTAGGCAAGCTACAACGCTCCCTTGGACTCAGCCATTTCCTGACAGAGAACATCTGCCAACTCTAGGTTGAATGGTTGAATGAATGTACATGGCCTCCCACTTCCCCACCCACATCTTCAGTACTTTTGTAACTAATAAACTAACACCCAAACAAAACTGCCGTTGAGTTTTCTCCCACATTGATCACAGCAGTGGCCAGGAGTTTCAAAAGCTCTAGGGTAACTCTAGAGTGTTAGCACTCCTCTTGGACAGGCAGCTGGTCTCCATGTAGCGTATTCCTGAGAGACAACAAATCAGGACTCCGCTAAACAGGACTCAGAACTGATATCAAGCAGAACTCTCTGCCCTCCTGCAAATCGACCCTGCAAAGTTGGCGTAGGATGGGAGTTATCTGTCATCACCTCAGGAACAACTCAATAGTGATGTCATGTCAATAGCTGAAGCATTGCAATACGTTATTCTGGTGATCTTGTGTTTATGTTAAAATATCTACGGTCAGGCTTTGCAACCTTTTGTAACTAAATTGATCAGTTTGTGCACCATGTTCCTGTGAATACAACTCACCTTTTCTGACACTAAAAGGTCATAGGCCAGAATAAGGACACAATTCACAGTTTTTTGTTTAAAGCTAAAAAATATTGAAGCAACAGCTTCTAACTAATCCAGACTTATTTTTGACTTGATTCAATAGTTAAGTGGCTATTTTCAAAGACAGTTTGCATAGTTAGAAAACATCATTTGACAAGGTCTTCATTCTCCCTAATATGCTGGAAGCTCCCTTGCTCTCACCCCAATGTTCCTGGCGCATCAAAAAGACACTTTAAATACTTGAGAGCTCTTTCTAAGTTCAGAAACTTTGAACCGAAATGTTCCATATCTTTGGAATGCAAATAAATCTTTAGATTTATACAGAAATGGCAAATGAAATAAGACATTTCTTAAAATAGCAGGGCTGATCTACAGCTAATGAATACAAATAGGGGTGTTTTCATTCCTGAGTACATCTATGACTTTCTTTTATACAAATGATTTAATCCTGAGCCTCTGCTCACAGTTTAGCAGAGACTGTTGCAAAACTAAACAGATATCAGTGCCATCTTCAAGTGAAAATCATAAACAGCACCCTGAGTCAAATAACCCAGTCTAGGCTATTGCATGAAGAACATCCATTTCGATGAGCAACTGGAGGGTTTGAGTGAATCATATTCTAATTAGGAGTCAAAGCTTTAAAACAAAATGAGATAATGAAGAGAAAACGTTTAAAACAAAAGGAGGTATTAAGTTGACTTTAAAGAGGGGTTACCGTCTTAAAATTAACATGCAATTCTGCAAAGATTGACAGCCATCTGCTGTTTGCTGAGAGCTCAGATGATGCCCTTCCTCATTCTTTTGCACATTTTGCAACCTCTTTTTGTAACGCTGCATTATTAGGTAGGTACACATCTTTAGACAATGTTAGAGAAGCTCCTGGTCAGAAAAAAAAGTTGCCTTAACCAGGGCACAGACAAGAAATGCACATGAAGCTCCTTCGCAGATGCACTGCAAATTTAGAGCAACTACAAGTCAATTAGAAATGGTTCACAGTTATAAAATAGAAAGACAAGATATTTGGAAATCATGAATTTCAACTTTTATTTTGCTGGGCACATCTAATGAAAAGGTGGAGAGTTTAAAATGGGTTTCTGAAGGGTTATATCATTGCTGGCTGGCCCAGCATTTATTTCTCAATCCTAGGTGCCCTTGAGAAGGTGGTGATGAGCTGCCTTTTTTAACAACTGCAGTCCATGTGCTGTAGATAGACCCAGATTACCATTCAGGAGGGAGTTCCAGCATGTTGACCGGATGACACTGATGGAACAGCGATATATTTCCAAGTAAATACTGCGACTGCAAGATCAGGGCAGAGGTTGGGAATTCAGCCGTGAATAACCTGTCTCCTGATTCCCCAAAGCTTATCCTTCTTCTACAAGGAACAAAGTTGGGAGTGAGCTAGAATACTGTCCTGCCTGGATGGCTGCAGCGCCAACAACACTCAAGAGGCTTGACATTATCCTGGACAAAACAGCTGGCACTTGCGCACAATGGATGCACACAGCTTCTAGAAGTGCTGAAAGCCATCAAAAAACTCTTCTGACTCTGAGAAGAAATTATTTTGAACCCTAGTCAAGACCACCAGAAAATACAGTTAACTGGAGACTCACATGCACTGCACATTCAGAGCCACATGGACAGTCTGGTGAGTTTGCCTGTTGAATTCAAACTTCATTTCAGAAACAAGGGGTAAAGAATAACTAAAGGAGCAGCAGCTAGTACAATAAAATCCACATTTATTGACTTACCATTTAAGATCTGGTTTTTACTCAAGAATAATGTTTTGCTGTATGACTATATCAAATGCATTTCTCTCTGGAGTACCATAAACCCTGAAGGGCTTTAATACCAGACAAGTTGTTGCTTGAGTGACTCCTATTTCTCTCTATCTCAAAAAGCACACAAAGGAAAGATTAAAGTTAGTTTTATGGGATCTCATTTAAGCATACATTTTAGTAACGCTTCACAGAGCTGGCTGAAATTCCTAGCTCCGTGTTTTGATATTTTTAATTACGAATTAGATACTTAACAAATGTTAGTGTCGCCTGAATACAGCTAGCTGCTGGTAACAAAGACTGAATTTCCGACTTCCCCAACTGCCAGTTCTTAAGCGTTTATATCTAAAGATAGAATTAGTTACAGAACGTTTGAATAGTGATCTTCTGTGTTGTGTCATCCCTATGGTTTTATTAACAAATGTTTACTTAACACCCATACCTGTAAACATATTTCTAGAGCATAAATTGGTCCAAGCATGGACAAAAAAATCTGAACTCGAGGGAAGTAAGGGTGACTGCACTCAGCAACAAGATAGCATTTGACTTCATATGGAATCATGGAGCTTAGCAAAACTGGGATCAATGGGAATCCGTGGGGAATCTCTCTGCAGTCAAAGTACGATGGTCATGGCTGTTGCAGGTCAATCACCTTAACCACAGGCATCCCTGCAGGAGTTCCTCAGGGGAATGTCTTAGATTCAACCATCTTCAGCTGCTTCATCAATGACTTTCCTTCCATCAGAAGGTTAGATGTGAAGATGATTGTTAATAATTGCATAACGTTCAGCATCAATTATAATTCCTCAGAGACTAAAGCTTACATCTCCAGATACAGCAAAACCTGGACAACATTCAAGCTAAGGTTGACAAGTGGCAAGTAACTTCTGTGCTACACAACTGCCAGGCAATGACCATCTCCAACAGCAGGGAATTCAATCATCGGCTCTTGATATTCAGCAGCATTACCATTGCTGAACTATGATATTAACATCAGCTGGGGGGTGTGGGTGTGCGTGTGCGTGTGCGGGTGCGGGTTACAATTCCTGTGTTTGCAAGGGCAGGTCAGAGGTTGACTTCTGTGACAAATAACTCACCTCCTGATTCCTCAAGCCTGTCCACCATCTCCAAGGCACCAAGTCAGGAGTGTGATGGAGTAATCTCCTCTTCATTGGAGGAGATCATCTCCAATAACACTCAAGAGCTTGACACCATCCAGGACAAAACAGCTCATTTGATTGACATTCCAGCTTTCAACATTTATTCCCCCCGTCATTGACAGCAGCATATATTCATCTACAATTTGCTTCGCAATAGCTCACCAAAAGTCCTTAGACAGTACTTTCTAAACCCAAAATCTCTGCCACCTAGAAGGACAAAAGCAGCAGATACGTGGGAACATCACCATCTGCAGGTTCCCATCTAAGCTACATACTACCCTGAGTTGGAAATATACAGCAACCCTTCAGTGTCACTGCATCAAAATTCTGGAATTCTCTAACTATGTTGTGGGTGTAACTACAGCTATGGACTTCAGCGATTCAAGGTGGCAAATGACCACCACCTTCTAAAGGCAATAAATATTGACCTTACCAGCGATGCCTACATCCTATGAATGAAGAAAAAAATTAAGACCACACAAAGTGTAAAGTCAGACCCTGGTCTCCTCCAACTGAACAGATTTATGGAGAAGAGAACATTATTTGTACAGAGCTGTGGATGAAAGAGAGGTGAATGCAGGTCGGTGCTAAATTATTAGACTACTCATCATCCCTAATCCAATACTTGATAAACTGAAATTGCCTCCAATTAAATACTGGAAAGACTGAAGTCATTGTTTCAAGTCCCTGCTCCAAACTCCATTCTCTAACTACAGATTCAGCCCTCTCCCTGGTGACACTCAGATTAAACCAGCCTGATCACAACCATGGTGACACGCTCGATCTCAAGTTGAGCTTCCAACTCGTATATGCGCTATCAACTATTTCCAGGTCTGTAACTTCATCTGACTTCACCCACCTCAGTTCATCCACTTCTGAATCCTTTATTCATGCTTTCCTTACTTCCAAGCTCAACTACTCTAACCTGCTGCTGGCTGACTGATCATATTCTACCCTCCGTAAACTACAAGTCAATCAAAACTCTGCTACCTAAGACGTTACAGGCACCAAAGTCCAGTTACTTAATTTTAAAATTTTCATTTACAAATCATGGCCATGCCATCTCATCCAGCCCCTCCCCACCTCAAGATTTCTTCAGTTTGCTAACTTTGGTCCCACATGCATCCTTAATTTTATCTGCCATACCATGCCATATCATGCCTTCAGATGCCAAGGCCCCAATCTCCAAAATGCTTCCCTACATCTCTTCATCTTTCTAGCTTGTAATTCTTCCTCAAGACATTGCTCAAAATCAGCCTAATATCTATGAAGTGGCTCAGTGTTATGCTTGTTATAATGCTGCTGTGAACCGCCTTGGGATGGTTCATTTCATTAAAGCTACTGTATAAATACAAGTTGTCAATAGCTCTGCCAAACAGCCAGCACAGGTATGAATGGTTGAATAGCCTCCGTCCACAGTATGCCATCCTATAATTCTATTAACAAAGTTTTATTAAATATTAAAGACTGGATTCACAGATGGGGTTCATCACTCACATTTGATCCCATCTTCCTCAACATCAGCAGCACTCGCACTTTCTGCTGGATGTACATCTCCTCAGGACTCTTCTCGTGGGCACCTTCACGGTTCATCTGCTCAGCTCCAGTCACACTGTTATCACTTAATGAGAAGAAAAACATGTTCTTTAAGTACCATATTTTCAAGCCTTTTCTTCCTTCAGGATGTCATAGAGTCATAGAGATGCACAGCATGAAAACAGATACTTCTGTCCAACTCGTCCATGCCAGCCAGATACCCAAAATTAATCTAGTCCCATCTGGCCCATATCCCTCTCAACCCTTCCTATTTATATACCTATCCAGATGCCTTTTAAAATGTTATAATTGTACCAGCCTCCAATACTTTCTCTAGCTCATTCCAAATATGCACCACCCTCTACATGAAAATGTTGCCCCTTAGGTACCTTTAAAATCTTTCCCCTGTCACTTTAATCTTATGCCCTCTAGTTTTGGACTCTCCTACCCTGGGCAAAAGACCTTGACTATTCACCCTATCCATGCCCCTCTTGATTTTATAAACTTCTTTAAGGTCACCCCTCAGCCTCTGACACTCCAGAGAAAATAGCCCCAGCCTATTCAGCCTCTCCGTGTAGCTAAAATACTCTCCAACCCTGGCCACATCTTTGTAAATCTTTTCTGATCCCTTTCAAGTTTCACAACATCTTTCCTATAGCAGGGAGACCAGAACTGAACATAGTATTCCAAAGTGGCCTAACCAATATGCTGCTCAGCTGCAACGTGACACCCCAACTCCTATACTCCATGCACTGACCGATAAAGGCAAGTGTACCAAACACTTTCTTCACTATCCTGTCTAGCTGCAACTCCACTTCCAAGGAACTATATATTTTCTTGAACCAAAAATCAACGCAATGTAAATAATTTAAAAACTGTTTCACTGTAGAAAACATGAAAAAGACCCCTTTGAATAGGAAATGAAAGTACTTTGATACCAAAGCACTAAATCTCTTGCAGATATAAAGCCCGAGGGTCAATCCCCAAATTTGCAAGTGTTTGCCTTGGCTCAGTGGAAAGTGCACTCCACTGAGTCAAAATGGGCCAGAGACTGGAATATAGGCTGACACTCCAGTGCAGCGTGAGGTAATGTTGCATTAATCAGAACAACACTGTTTCAGAAGAGACAATGAACTGAAGCCCAGTCTGCCCCTCAGGCATGTATCGAGAACCCACAGCACTATTCCAGCGAAGAGCAGTATTTACTTCCCAACAAAATACTTTCCAGTATTTATCATGAATGAATAATATTCCTGAATCAAATTACCTGGTCATCACCACATTGTTGTTTGTGGTGTCACAAACCAGATGGGAAGGAGACACTGGAAATCAAACCCCATGAGTCGTCATAATCTTAAACAATACCGCCTTTAATCCAAACACGCACACACTTGCTCACAAACGGGTCAAACAAGACTGACAGTTTGGCAGAAATACTGAGATCGGAAAATATAGGCAAAAAGGAAATAAAGTATGTGGATCATGAGTCCAAACCACAAAGGGAAATAAGGTAACAGTGTGGAGCTGGAAGAACACAGCAAGCCAGGCAGCACCAGAGGAGTAGGAAAGTTGGCATTTCGGGTCGGGACCCTTCTTCAGCCCTGCTGTGTTCCTCCAGATACACGCAGTGTTATCTGTGACTCTAGCATCGGCAGTTCTTACCGCCTGAGGGAAATAAGGTGACTTCCTCAGTTGTTATTGATTTTTCTAGGGTATAATATCATTGCTGTCAACCGTGCCAATCCTCAATTCAGTAGATAATCAGTCGGACCTAGGTTTTGTTTGAGCTAGAAGAGTTTTTTCATTTCAGATTCTTTTAGTACTGGTTTTCTTCCATTCAGAGGGGGAAAATGAGATGTGGCTTGCCAGTAGGCTTTTGAGGTCTGAGTGCTACTGCTCACTTCTCAGCTCTGTGACAAATGACTACTTAAAACCAATCCAAAACCTACTGATGGGCAATTCCACCTTCCAACCCAAAAGCATTTAATGTCAGCTAATCTCATAAAAGTATCAAATCCACCTTTTCAAAAGTTGTGTGCTCATATGGCCAATGGGTGAACACCACACAGTTCCATTTCTGCTTCGAGTTATAAAAAAACTGGTTCATTCTCTGCAAAACAGTTCAAACTTCCATTTCTCAATTTAGATTTCAAATAAAATATATGTGGTCCATAGAGTTGGATCTTGCACAAACTGACTTGTATTTCCTTATTTTAACAGCGATTACACTTCAAAAATTCTTCACGTTTAGGACTTTTGGACATCAGTAATAAACACTATATAAATGAAAGCCAGTCTTTCTTTTTTAAAGCAAAGGGAAACAGAAATTGCTGGAGACCTCAACAGGTCTAGCATTATCTTCTATCCATTGCCTCTGTCTATACTTCTCGCTGCCTCAGGAAAGCAGCCAACATAATCAAAGACACCTCCCATCCCAGTTATACTCTCTTCCACCCTCCTCCATCAGGCAGAACATACAAAAGTTTGAAAACATGCACCAGCAGATTTAAGAATAGCTTCTTCCCTGCTGTTATCAGACCTATGAACAGACCTCTCATATACTGGAGTTGATCTTTCTCTGCGCCTTCTCTGTAGCTTTAACACGATATTTTGCACTCTGTTCTATTACCCTGATGTACTTATGCAAAGGTGTGATTTGTCTGGTTAGAAGCGGTACAATACTTTTCACGGTATCTCAGTACATGTGACAATAATCAAACCAAATGGTATGGGAACATGGTGATGTATTGAAATGGCAGGCAACTCAAGCTCAGGGTTATACTTATGGACAGAATGTTTCTTTTTTAATCTCTGAATTAAACAGATGGGATGTTCAGGAAAAGTAAATAACCACAAAGAGGGCAATACATCATGTTGAATTAGCTAAGAATATTAGAATTACATCCGTAACTGTGGAGCAGTCAATGGAAGCATACTGAAACTGAAGTCCACAGGCAAATTGGACTAGTTTAGTTTGGGAAGCCTGGTCAGTATGGACTAGTTGGACTGTATGACTAAATCAATAGAGTATAAAATGAGAGGAGCTTTACAAAGTTTGATTTGGACAACATCTTGAATACTGCAGTAGATTGGCTACTGGGACATGTGGGAGATATTTAACCCCTGGAATGATTCAAAGTAGAACTGAGAGGTCTGGTGTTCATGTCCATTGTTAATTAAACCAGTGACACTGGTTATGAAGAAAGTCTGGATAAACTCAGGCTCATATACCAACCCAAGCTTATCCACCCTTTCCAATACATTATTCAATTGTTTCCAAAATGAATCCAAGTTTTTTGCCACCGCTATTTCACCCAAGACTCCATGCCAATTGTTAAGTACTTTTTGCATAAAGCACTTCCTAACAGAGTCCTAAATCTATATTCGACCAGTATGAATCTGCACATTTCTACTGTCAGTCTGTACCAACAGCTCTGGTTTTAAAATGAGAAGCATAAATTAGTGCACATTACAGGCAGTTTTCCATTGCAGACAAATTCACGTGAGGAGTTGAGATCTAGTGGGCAAAATCATCCACCTGATCAAACACTGTACTGCAGAACAACAGTGGGCAACAGTTTCATTCCTGTTTGACTGGAACAGCAATCAGACAATAATTAGCCTGTGCATCCATGGGGAGGGAAAAAAAATTAGTCAGCATTCCTACTCCAAATCACTATGCAGTGACCTCTGCTGGAAATCAGCATCTGCCTACATAGGCAAAATACACTGTGGTGAAATTTTGATATCGTTGATCCCAAACGGTAACCATTAATAAAATCATAGAATCATAGAATCCCTACAGTGTGGAAACAGGCCCTTCGGCCCAACAAGTCCACACTGACTCTCAGAGCATCCCACCCTGACCCATCCCCCTATAACCCACCTAATCTACACATCCCGCAACACTATGGGCAATTTTTCATGGCCAATCCACCTAGCCTGCACATCTTTGGACTGTGGAAGGAAACCAGAGCACCTGGAGGAAACCCACGCAGACACGGGGAGAATGCGCAAACTCCACACAGACAATCACCCAAGGGTGGAACTGAACCTGGGTCCCTGGCACTGTGAGCCAGCAGTGCTAACCACTGAGCCACCGTGCTTATGGTTAAGGTAACAAAGGGACATTGGCTTACACAGAATCTGAGCAAAAGTTACTGTGCAAGGTTTTCTTTTGGGGCAAGCAGGGAAGACATTGAAAATTGTAAAAAATAATTTAGAATAAACGAACAGTTACACTTTGAACATTCATGTTATTGCTACAACTTGGGCTTCAAATTCTAACCCATTGTTCAAGATTGCATCAGGTGTCGCAGGTGAAATGACATGGGATACCACAATCTAAACCCCATTGTTTTAGAGATTTTTACGAGGTTGTATACAGTAAAAAAAGGACATGCAAGGAGATGTTTCTGCCTTTGGCAGAGGTGGAATTCTGGTTGCAAGTTGCCTGCCAAGTTACAAACCTCTGCAAACTCATTTGTCAGAACTGACGTGTTCAAGTGTCATACATCATGCAGAAATCCTCAGCTTCAAGACTGACCATCTTAAACCAACAGCAGGCAGGTTTGAATAACTCACCCTATCAGCTCTACTGCTAACAGACCGCTGACACTCAGTGGATATTGGCAAGGTATAAAATTACCGCCTGGGGCAAGAGGCTTCATTATTTTTATAACTTGTGACAAAAATTTTCAGCTGGACAATGGGTCTCCTTGAGAACATTTAAAAAAATGTGTAATGGCCATAAATCAAAAGATTTATAAAGATGTTGTGAGGTTTGGAGGGTTTGAGCTGCCAGGAGAGGGTGAATAGGCTGGGGCTATTTTCCCTGGAGCATCGGAGGCTGAGGGGTGACCTTATAGAGGTTTATAAAATCAAGAGGGGCGTGGATAAGGTAAATTGACAAGTCTTTTCTCGGGGTGGGGGAATCCAAAACTAGAGGGCAGAGGTTTAAGGTGAGAGGAAATATTTAAAAGGGACCTAAGGGGCAGCTTTTTCACAGAGTGTGGAGTATAAATGGAATGAGCTGTCAGAGGGATTGGTGGAGGCTGGTACAATTACAACATTTAAAAGGCATCT